AATTTTTCAGTTATTATATCGTTGTGTTCAATCTATAAATCTAACACATGATAATGCACACGCTCAGATGGATGTAAAATTACGCTCTCTCATCTGTCTCGGATTGAATGAACAAGTACTTCATTTATGGTTAGAAGTCTTATGTTCCTGTGTAGAAGTAGTACAAAAATGGTAAGTGTAAACACACATACTCTTTTTGTGTTAAAATTTATATATAATATTCATTACCTTTATTATACAATATATAACAATATTTAGGTATCATCCATGGAGTTTCATAAATAGTCCAGGTTGGGTACAAATCAAATGTGAATTGAGAATTCTAAGCCAATTTGCATTTAATTTGAATCCCGACTGGGAACTACCGCCCAAAAAGGAACAATCGCAACCTTTAAAAGATGGGGTTCGTGATATGCTAGTCAAACATCATTTATTTAGTTGGGATCTTTAGCATATAAAATAATTGGATTAATGAAGTATCTCTGAGGATAAACAATGTAGTGCATTTTTTCGTATTTATTGCTAGATTTATTTAAAGACTATTTTACGAATTCATGTACACACATACGCACACACACACACACACACAATTCATTTAAATATCTTCTTCTAATAAATTTTGGCAACTTATCTTATTCTTTTATATTTTTTTTTTATTTTATTAATCTTCAAATATGCAAAAAGCTCCTTGATAATTAGAAAGCTTTTTATTTGGAATAAATCTTAATGATTAAGAATGATATTATAATGTACAAATAAGTATATAATCTCACACATATTTATTATTTTATAACATATAATTTATAAATATGTCATTAGAAAAATAAGAAAATTTAAATTGTCTAATAAAATTATTTAATTTAAAATAATGTTGACACAAAAAATAGCCAATAATTTTTATAACTTTTCTTTTGTATATTTTGGTAAATAATTCTTTTCAAAAAACTTCAAAATTTTTTTTGAATATATTTTGTCAAAATAATTCAATACTAAAATAATTAACAACTAAAAAAGAATAAGATATATATCTATAAAATAGGAATAGATTTTTAGATAAAAAGTCTTTGATAACCAAAGCTGCATTGGTTATCAATATATAAACTATCTATATAAACGTATATCTATATATAAACGTTATTTTGTAATTATATATATCTTTATGAAATATTAGTTTTATATTTCTTTTTTATATAAGTGAGAAAAATATACAGATATACAAAAAAGAGATCAACAAATATA